TCTATTTACATCTATCTATCTACATCTATCTACCTGTCTATTTACATCTATCTATCTACATCTATCTGTCTATTTACATCTATCTATCTACATCTATCTACATCTCTCTATCTCTGTATATCTCTCTATCTGTCTATTTACATCTATCTATCCACATCTCTCTACATCTCTCTATCTCTGTATATCTCTCCATCTACCACTGTTGTTAGCTGCTGTCGAGTCCGCCGCAGCTACTTGTGACCCCTTGCACAATAAAACAAAATGATGCCCTGCTCCGTCCTGCGCCATTCCCACAATAGGCTGTGGATTGTACCATTGTGATCCATAGGGTTTTCACTGGCTGATATCTGGAAGTAGATCACTAGGACTTTCTTCCTACTCTGTCTTAGTCTAGAAACTCTGCTGATACATGTTTAGCATCAAAGCAACATGCAAGCCTCCCCTGGCAGACAGGTGGTGGCTGTGCATGAGGTGCACTGGCTGGAAATTGAACCGAGGTCTCCAGCAAGGAAGACGAGAATTCTACTACTCAACCAACACTACTCTCTTGATAGATAGATAGACAGACAGACAGACAGATAGATAGATAGATAGCTACCAATATCTATATAGGGAGCCCTGGTGGGACAGTGGTTAAAGTGATCAACTGCTAACCAAAAAGTCATTGGTTCAAAACTACGAGCCACTCCATGGAAGAAAGATGTGTCATCTGGCTTCTGTAGAGATTTACAGCCTTGGGAACCCTATGGGGTTGCTGTGAGTTGGAACTGACTTGAGGGCAGTGAGGTTTTTAAATATCTACATACTCATATCTCTATCCATCTATCTATTCTGGAGTCCCTTGGGTAAGCGCACTTAACTAACAGTTAAGTGCTTGATTACTAGCAGAAAGGTTGGTGGTTGGAACTCGCCCAGAGGTGCTTCGGGAGACAGGCCTGGAGATCTACTTCTGAAAGGATTCATAGCCAATTTCTGTTTTTATGGAAAACTCACTTTTATCCACTTAATGGCACACTCCTCTGTGGAGCAGTTCTACTCCGTCACATGGGGTCACTATGAGTAGAAATCGACTCCATGGCAACTAACAGCAACAACAGCAACGATATGTATTCTGAACCACATTGTTTTTCTTTTGCATTGCCTTAGTCCCATCAGAAAATGCAGAGCTAAGTGGTCTATTTAGACTAGTTGCATGCACACATATGATTTCCAATCTGTCTAATCAAGATAAAACTGAGTGGGGTTTAATGTTTAAAATTAGCAGAGAAAACACTCAGCTGTAGCTCTATTGACCATTCTTAACACAACTATCATTTGGTTCTGATTTTTGAATACTTACTGTGTTGTTGTTAGGTGCCTTCCCGTCGGCTCTGACTCACAGTCACCCCATGCACAACAGAACGAAACACTGCCTGGTCCTATGCCATTCTCACAAACACTGCCATGTTTGAGCCCTTTGTTGCAGCCACTGTGTCAATCCTTCGCGTTGAGGGTCTTCTTTTTCACTGACCCTCTGCTTTACAAGCATGATGTCCTCCAGGGACTGGTCCCTCCTGATAACATGGCCAAAGTATGTAAGACAAAGTCTCACCATCCTCCCTTTTAAGGAGCATTCTGGCTATACTTCTTCCAAGACATATTTGTTCATTCTAGCAGTCCATGGTATGTTCAATATTCTTTGAATACTTGGGAGTCTTTAAATATCCACACTAGCTTTGAAAGATTACAAAATGCGTAGACTTATTTGCGAGAATGAGATCTTCCCTGGTCTAAACCAGCTGCAGGAACACAGACCATGGTGGACTGGGTGTAACTGTGTTCATAAAGCCAGACTCCAGGACTCGCTCATGACACTGTTCTGCTTGGTCCAGAGCAATTCTGGGGTTTGAAATTGTCAAGTCCTTTTGTTTTTCTACACAGAATACATTCTAGAAGATAATCATAGAACAAAATGCTACATCTCTATTAAAACATTCGTTTTCTTCTCTCCTTTGATTGTCTTTAAGTGTCCATGCCTCCTGTGGTCACACCCAGCTACAGTCCCTTCCACACTAAGTGTGATTACACGTTAGATGTGTTTAGTTCACAGGTCTTCACGTCAAGAGGAAGTGTGCTTAGGGGCCTGAAGTTGAGGGGCTGCCCCAGACAGCTTCCCATGCACTTGAACCTCCAGGAGCTTCAGTCGAGTCTAGACTTGACTTGGATGATGAGATTCTGGGTTTTGAGTGGACGCTGTACTGGGATGAAACCTTGAGGGCCTTGGAGGAAGGTGAGTGCACCTTCCATGTGGAAGAGACCAGCCTCACTGTGGGCCAGAGAGAGAAGTCCAGCGGCCAACCTCCAAGATGGCCCTGACTGGCTTTCGCCTCTCAGTTATCGATGTGCTGTGCAGTCCCCTCCCACATGAATCAGTCCTC